AAGAACGGAGAGAAGAACAATGGGTGCATATAGGTGGATTCAACTGACTTTGTTCCAGTTTGCAATGCTTCAGTTTGCAGGTAAGGAATCCACAAATATAAACATTTGAAAGCTGTGCCATTGATCATTATGTTTCCTTATTTTGTTTAGTTATTCTATGTCTTTTAGTGGAATGATGTTTTATTGATCTTTAACAATTATATTTCGCAAACTAAAGTGATGCCTGTGCTGTGTTTAAAATCACTCACTTTTTCTGTGGGGATGCTGACTTCTAACAGCTTTCTACCACAATTACAGCTGGACATCCATCATACTTCACCCTTAAAGCTGGAGATGGATTAACATTACCCTGTGAAAATGTGATAGAAGGAAAAAGTCGCTGTGAGAGGGCCCAGTGGATATTCCGTGGTCAAGGAGTTGTAGAAGAGATTTTGTTTGAAAGTGGACATTTTACGCAAGCAGCTAAAAGAAAAGGAGATAGAAACGTTACAGCAGACTGTTCACTGAATATTAAGAAGATCACAGTGGAAGACGCTGGTCATTTTTCCTGCAGATACACCTCTTTAGATCATCAGTATCAAGAGATTGATTACTATCTGTCCGTTATCTCTAGTAAGTATTCACATATCAAGGTTTTCTGATCAGATATAACAAATTCTTGACATTTTATGGATATATTTTCATTAATAATAATTGATTAGTAAATAATGTCACTCCCTCAATCTACCGGTATCAAATATCTCTGTCTTCAACAGTAGATGAATGGAGAGAAAATAACAAGATCACTTTAAACTGTATTGTGACTGGATACAGCTTCTGTATCCAGTATATGTATATATATGTATGTATATATGTATATGTATATATATGTATATATATATACTGTATCCAGTATATGTATATATATGTATATATATATATATATATTTACGTATGCATAATTTATGGCCCTGTATGCAGCTCATCCTGTGCCTATGTATGTATATTTGTGAATATTCTGTACAAAAACCACTCGCACTGCTTCACCAGACCAGACCATTAAAGCACCAAAGGTCCTCTACATCAGTAGTCCCTGCCGAACCGCAGAGACAGTTGCGGGGCTCAGGTGGGACATGTTGCTTGAATTGCATGTGGCTGTAATGTGAAGTAGCCTGGCCAGCCATATTGAATTACGCACCATGATTTGACAAATTCATTCTAGCCGTAATTCAGCCCCATAACTATCAAAGGAGAACACACTGGATAGGTCCTTTTTGTTTCTTGAGTTTATTTTTCTTTGATTTGAGCAGGGTAAGCAGGACAACTGGCCAACAGAATAGGATGTATGTTTAAAATGAGAAAAAAGACAGACACCATTAGCCTAAGTGCATTATATCAAGTTATTTTATTTAGAGACAAAAAATGTTTTTATTCCATCGGAGGATCATCTTACGTATTTACTCACAATAAGAGCAAAATACATTTATTTTAAGCATTTTTTCCCCTAATTTTTAAGCCAGTTTTTGTAGCATAAATACCGTGTCTAAAAGAAAAAAAACGTATAATAAGAAAATGACCAGTTTAAGGTGTGGATTAGATTAGAGTCCTCAGCACTTGATAATATATTATTATACACTTTCCAGAAGTCGGTTATCTTGAAACCTGCACGTAAATAGTATTCCTGTCTTACCATGATATCAATAACTGTAGATTTTGGTGGACTTTACAGAGACTCAACTTGAACCATGCAATTCGTTCTGATGTCTTTGGTCTGAATGAATTTGAGTCCAGAGTGTGACTTCCACCATAACAATACATAAACATGAAAAAAGCATGTAAAACCCACAATGTTCCTAACACTCAGCAAACAGCCAAAAAAAAAATAAATGGTAGCCTGACCCAAAGATCACAAATGATCACCGACTGTTTAGTATGAAAATGACTTAAAACATACTTCTGCCAGTGAGCCCCAGGGCAGCTGTGGCTACAATGTAGCTTGCCACCATCAGTGTGTGAGTGTGTGTCTTAGTCCCTAGATGCAAATCCTACATATAACTTTTGGGGCAGCTGTAAAGAAGAGGCTATATGATCTGCAAAGAATGTACAATAAAGGATGGTTGCAGATCCCTCTCTTTAAGCTTCAACCTGATGCCGATGTGCCTGAAATAAGTAATTTTGGAAAGAAAAGCTCAGGTGAGTGAATCTCTAATGCCACCCACCCATCACCAAACTGTTCTTCTTCTTCTAAAATCTTCCACCTTGCCTTATAAATCATTCAATTTTTTTTAAGTACTTAGTTAAATTGATGTATAAATGTTGATCCCAAACTCTACTATGCTCAGAGCAAATATGGGCATAATATAAGCATAATTTACATTAATTATAAGATGTTTATCTGTAAGTGTATGTATAAATACTTAAACAGAAAGTCATATGAGATTATTATTGTTGCGTTGTATTGCTGTGGACGTTGTAATGTAATAAATTGCATCCAAATTCAAAGTTTCAAAATACATCCTTCAAAATACTAGTTAAACAAAATATTATCTGGAATATTTTGTGGTTTTATTTTTATAAGATTATCCAAAACAACTTTTTATTGAAAAAAAAGTATAACAAACCAAATATGTATTTGCAAAAACATAAAGAAAAAAAACTTTTCACACAAAGGCAGGTGATCGTATTCATGCTTGATTTATTTTTGATATTTAAAATTTTGGCAGTTATTTATCTTACAGCAGATTAGTAAGCAATATCAGTACAAAAGCTTGAATAAAATACAATAAAAGATTTGCCATAGCTCAGGTTCAAATGCCTTCCTTGTTTTTTATTTTTTTATTTTTTACAAATAGCATATGCTGGATAAAGTTAATTCATTTCATTCTTGTACTCTGGATCTTGAAAACATTGATAGGTGGAACCCGGCAGAAGCAGATGGTTATTTCATGTTTTGATACGGCACTGTCTCCTGATCCCCATTACCTTGTAGGAAAAAACACAAAGGACATAATGGGTTAAATTGAGAATTCAGTTAATGAATGTATTACATTTCCATGTAAAGCTGTTTTCCCAAAACATATTTTCCTTTATCAAAATGCATTAAATAACGCAATCATTTCTTATTTTCTTTACAAGAAACATAGCATACCAAATATTTATCTTTAATTTTAATACATTTTAAGTACAGTCAGTTTCAAAAAACATAACTACACTGTACAATATTTTTTAATCCTTGTAGTCAGCTGCAGCTCAAACTGTATGACAAAACCGCAGAGTTTAAAAGTTCACAGTGCACAATGTTAATGCGATCTACCTGCTAACATTGCACATCCAGAAACCACTGTCACTACCCGATCCGTCCCACAAGCACGATCTGTGCCATCGGCTGTATATATGGGTTCCATAAATTATGTAACAATGTTACTAAAATTACTTATTTCTATCCTTAACTCACTAAAGAATGCTAAAACATATTTTTAAAAAATGTGACATTATTATAAATTATGACATTTTCTGAGACAATTTCGATGCTTTTTATGTTTTTCTCTGTTGAAAAATTTGTCTAACGTCATCATTGGACGTGCTCAGAGTAGTTAGGCGAATTATGATTTAACCATGTTTATCCACATTTCAGTTGTTTCTTTCTTTAGGTTACAAGTTATATACCATAACATTAACATGAAAGGAAAAAACTTAAAGACAAGCCGGTAGGTTAGCTCCAAGAAGTGGCGTTTTCAAAATACACGAGTGATAAAACAGAAAGGATTTTAATACATTAATTTTCTCAGGAAATACATTATTAACCTTTAACACATTATATTTAAGTACGCTTAATAGCGTAATTTAGATATTTAAAAAAAATAAATTAAATTGAGGGTGACCTGGATGTATATCATTGCGCATGCGCGAAAAAGCTGATGGTACGGATCGTGCCTCCGGGACGGATCGGGTAGTGACAACTACAAATTGGACTCATCACTGAGGGATGTCGCTGGTCCGACTCAGCAATCTGGAAGAAGAAGAACTCCTTTGTTTGCACATGCGCAGTGCGCAAAGTTCGGGTAAATCGGCTCGTATCTCTGCTTCAACAGCAGGATTTGCCCACGACAACCACGAAAATCGAACATGTTTGATTTTCTCTTGACCTTACGATTCCTGATCAGGAGGAGATCGTGACAGACTAATCACCCCTCATTACCCGCTGTATACTACTCCACACAGGACACACCATGAGGCTATAACTCGGCCGGTCCCAAAAATTCGCCCGAAAGGACAAAAACTTGTACAGTCTATAGACTCGCTTAAAGTGTTAAGTGTAGTCTACACGTCATTCAACATTTCTTAATTTAGTATTCAAACTTACAATTTTTACTATTCATGGCTGTTTTGTTACCTGAAAAAAACAAAAAAAGAACAAATCTCAACCCAAGTTCAGCTTTAACAGTTGAATTGTGTTTTATCAACGTTTAAGAAGTTTTTTTCTTACATAAAATGCTCAGCCATATGATAACCATGCAAAGACATATTAGAGATACTGCTAAAACCAAGCAGAGAATGATGTGTCTGAGAAAAAAAAAGAATTCCCTGGAAATAATAAAAAAAATATTGTTATTAAGATTAATAAGAGAATCTGCTAGCATGGGCAGCTGGACTGTCGATTCTAGGATCCTACCAGCAAATTGAAGCATTTAGGAATATTTTTAGATACATTTTCAGTATTGTTCTGTTGTTGCTTTGCAACAAACTCTATCACTTTGATCTCTAAAAAAACAAAACTGTACACAGTTAACCGATATCATCGCCAACATGTCACTCTGAAACTTTGTATTTAAAGGAGCAATCAGTAAGACTTCTATTGAAAAATTTGTCTTAAATCTTTCTCATTTGTAAACCAGGATTTAAGCAACATTCCATACAATAAACCCAGAAAAATCCTCCCTCCCCATCAACAATGTCTTAGTACATCTTAGCAGATAAGAGTAAGAGCTTAAGTATACATAATAAAACCCTGAATATGTGTCTCAGGTCACAAGTGCATGTAAACAGTCCATCATCTCCTCGACTGTTTTCTTACCTGATGTCTGATGGCTGAAGGTGAACAGGTAATCTTTTTTATTGTAAGCCTCTTTAACTTTGCACTTTAATAACTCATAAAACTTAGAATTCTGATGGAGATAAGACATTGGTACTGTGACTGCTGCTGCACAGGAAGTTGACATGTTCTTGTCTGGGGATATGTTCTCTTTGCCCTCATACAGCCACACCACTAAGTGCTTGCAGACGGTATACACTGACACAGAGCATCTAAAGGTAACTTCCTCCTCGTTCCTATGTTCAGTCACTGCAAAGATAGAGATATTGTTTTTAAAAAGACAACATAATTAAATGTAGCTGGATTGCTGTATTACTACGGTAAAATCTGAAAACAATGTGATATAAATACTCACTGGTGACAACATTCAGATCAACCTTAATGAGGGAGAATTTTTGGTCTGTTGTCTTCCTTCTGCAGCAGTAATAACCAAAATCATCTGCTGTGACGTTCTTAATGACCAGAGAACAGTTTGCTGTAACACTCAGTTTGCCTGATTTAGCTTTAGCTTCCTTTGTGAAAATCCCTTGTCCAAACCATGTTACAGTTTTCCGTCCTGTGTGTTTGAAATTCCATGTGATTCCGTCACAGTTATGATTCTCTGTCCTCACATTTCCAGACGGTAGGGTGACCTCATCACCAACTGCAACAGTGAAGAAAGCTCGCTGTTGCCCATCTGATGCTGCAGTGAAAATGTATATCAAATCATTGGGTATAAACATTTAATCTTTGGCTTAAATTCTACGAACAAAACATGATGAATACAGAGCACTTTTTAGTAACACATTTTAAGGCACATACAGTATGCATGTATATAGATAAAGCATATATACTGTATGCTACATACATATAGAAACTACCAACAGTGAACCATTAAAAATTAAACAATCCTTTTTCTTGTACTGGAATTCCTCAGGTTATCCACAACGTTCCCCCCTCTCGATTAGATATCTACATCAGAGTGTAACATAAGCAATATGTTATTTTCCTTTTTTTTGTATGAAGTACATTAAAGTGTACAAATAACAAACTGTTTTGGAGAACAGGTATTATGTCATTGGTAATATTATTTCGAATCTTCACTGGTAAAAATGATGTTGGGTATTACAATGCTGTTTTTTTTTTTTTGGTATGGAGGAAATTTCTTAATAAAAAGGGGCGTGTGCGTCGGCGCGTGCGGCTTGACCGGAGAGGAAGACCACTCTTTTTTTCTAATCTTTTTTTGGGGGGATTGTCGATTGGATTTTTCATTTTGGAACGGACCTTGGACTTAAACACTTCCAGGACTTTGCTTTGAGTTTGGAGTACTGTATATGGAACTCCTGTGTGGAATTTATTATAAAAAAATAAAAAGAACGGGCAGTTTTGGACTTTCAGTTATTAGGGTTGTTTTTTTTCCTCAGATATAAGGATTTTTGGTTATTGATCTATTTATACCGAATTATTATAGAATTAAACTTTTGGTTCCTGGTAGTATTGTGATATTTTTTAATAAATCTTTGTTCCTAAAAATCAACAACATCTTACGAAGCGGTTGGATATTTTCCTTTAGTATCAAATTTATAAGACATTTTACTTGTTTTTTTCTTGTGAGAGAATCCCCCTTGAGTTTTTGTGAGTTCTGCTTTTAATAAAGCTGAATTTGACAAGAGAACCGGAAATAGGTTTTCTACTTTCTACTAATAACTTTTAGCTTAGTTCGCACTCCTCTCTAAGGAAGGCTTAGACTACTAGGCACTCTCGATCACATGACGGATTCGACCCTCTCCTGTTGCATAGGTGAGTTTTTAGAAGAGCAGTCCACAATGAGCATTCATAAATTAAAAGGGTTTTATATTGACCCAATAAAAACATTTAAAGGGAGAATGTTTAAGATTTACTTCTTTCTAATGGTGCACTATATGTATTATAGATGATAGACTGATGTCTCTCCCTCAAGTGTGTGAAACCTACTATGAAAGCCACAGATTGACATTCTACTCTTTCATAATGGAAGAGACACATCAACCTTCCTCACCCTTGTTACATCAGCTAAAATAAATTCTGAATACATGGAACATTTCTCTAAATACAGGACATAAATAAGACTTTGGATCAAAGGAAGAGGTTAATTTGACAGTGGGTAAGAGAGAGGGATGCTGAGCTTGTTCCAGAACTAAACCTATTGAAGAATGTTTTCAGTTCATTGGTTCTGTCCAGACTTCCAGAGAGACAGCAGGTGCAAATCGTGGCAGGTACCGCTGCCATGGCACTTTGCACATTAGATGGTATGACTTCAATGAAAAAAGCTAAAATTGTTGCATTGGAACTATGCTAACGAAAAACAAACAAGCAATCTCTACTGGGGGGGCAGCGTCAGCTTAATCTCTGATCACAGCAGAGTGAAGCTTATGATTACCTGCATGTTTGACTTTTGTTAAGAAAAGCAACAGCTAATAATAACTGTTAGACATAAAGCTTCACAAACAAATAGTTCAAGTTGTATGTTATATTAAAATAATATTTGTTAGATATTTTCTTACCTTTGAATTGAAGCATCAGAATTGTAAAGAGAGATGTTGAAATCCGTCCAAAGGAATGCATTTTCCTTCTCTCCCTGTCTACCTTCACAAATGGCTGAGGCTGTAAAGCAGCCCTTTTTATCATAGATAACATAACACCCCTCCTCTGGTTTCTGGAGGAGGAACTTTCATAAAAACTCATAGGGACTTTCCTTCCTTCGACACTTTCCTTAATATCTTTTTTAAGATATTCAAATAGTTCCGAAAAAAAAACATGTTTTTTTTCCTTAGTTTTAGAAGGTAAAATTTAGAAAACAAACGGATGGTACTAAATGAATGACGCCTTCACAATTCCATTTTTAAACGGAGTCATGTCTTTTTAAAGTGTTCGTTTTTTTTCAAGGGTTTTATATTTAATTATGCCACCCAAAAATATGATTTTACTAAGAAATATAAATTTACACCTAAAACCAATCTATGACTAATTTCTGATGCTTTATTCTTCCATATAAAGTAAAAAGGAATGAATAGAGATAACTTTATATCAACTCACCCCCAGCTCAGTTTCCTGTTAGTTCTCCCTCATGTCGCTAATTTTAAAGTATTGATTGATTGATTGACTTTATTGATCTCACAGTGGAGAAATGTTCTCCACTGTGAGAGCTCAAATATACAAAGAAGAAGGTGCCAAAGGAAGAAAAGGGTGCATGGGATACATACAGTGCGTCCACATATGACAGCTTTTTAAAACATTTTTATAGTAGGATCATTATACAAATGTATTGCACAGGGTCTTTACATGGGTATTTATATAGATGGATATTTATATTTAGATGATTCATGTCGTTCCAGAGGTTTATGCTTGCCCTCAAATAACTTTTTAAAAAACATTCCAAGGAAGGCATTGCTAAGGGGACAGCTGATTGTGTGGAGGGAGTGATTGAAGGACATTGGGGTTTGCTTTTGGGGTCTAGCATGGTCACTGACATCAGCGCACAGGCCGTTTAGAGTGACGCAAACGTGGAGAGCAGAGCAATCACAACGATGAGATTGTGTTATATAATAATACCACAGGGCCTTCTGTATCCTTCACATTTCACAACCAGTGATTTCAAGATCCAGTAAACAAAAGATCAAAACATTTTTGTGATACATGCTAACATTTTTGGTGGCTAAAAGCTTTTTGGACAAGCTTATATTAAGAGTGGCTCAGGTTATCTGGAGCTCTTTCCACAAGTATGCTGCTATTGGCATAACAGGGGCCATTTTTCCTCTTTCTGTTTCATTCTATCTCTATTTTCTCATTCTGCAGTATTTTTTAGTTAAACCCCTGACTTAACTTAATGTTCTTTCTGCTTTTTATCTAATTGTTACTGTTTGGCCTGAAATCAACCTGGAAACATGGTGATGGTAGCTGGGCTGCTACCATCAACACCTTTGCTTATGGGTGCTGGACTGTAGAACTATAAAATTCTATGATACAATAGTATGGGAAATTGACTGGTTATACAAGAGGATGGCAGTATTCTCTCCCCTGTGTGTTGACCAAGTCTCAGGGAAAGGCTGAAAACATTTTTGTCATGGTTATTTTAACTTGCGGTGGGAGCCTTACACCTATTTATACTGCTTTACATGCTATTTTCTAGGCGGGCACTAGCTTCTCAATATGCTCCTCATTTCTGGGAAATTTGCCTATTTTGCATACCTGAATGGAAAAGCAAATAACTCAGGAACTATAAGCCCAAATTACATGTGTGAAACGTTATTTGAAAGCTAACACCTTCTAGTGTCTGAATATATACATGAAAGTAGGGTGAGTAAAAAACCCAAGCTGCATCAAGCCCAAGCTGCATCAGTTCAAACATGACTCAAAGTTGTATACTGCAGTCCTACTCATATCAATGTTTATACATGTATGCATGGCCTCTATAGCTGTGTCTAGTTAAGGGGCTGCATCTTTTGAAGACCACATTTGTTGCCTGATTACATAACAGTGAGACTACAAATGCTGTACTAATTTAGAGGCTGAATCCTCCCGAATACCTTATTCATAAATATCAGGTCTTACAAAAGACGAACGGCTTTAATTTGGATACAGCAGTTTCCTTTTCTTGTTAAGTGAGGCACTAAGTCTGAATAAGACCTCACTTTCGGTTGTTCAGCCAAGTGTAACTTGCAAACCTTTTTTAGTGCAATGTTGGTGATCAGATACTCCATTCATTCTGTCACTGTGATGGTTTATAAACACATTATGAGCCAATTGTTGATGGGGGTTGGCGGGCGGAAGCACGGGGCCGCCGTTGTCCAGGCTACCGTCACCGGGTCAGGTTCGGGCGCTCCGTCCACCACTGGCTTCCTGTTTCGACTACATGCAAGACTGCAATTCCCCCTGGACATTTTTTCTAGGTATGAAAAGTAGGACATGTTCGGATGTCTGGTCACCCTACCATATCCACAATTTGATGTTTCAGTGACTGAGTGCTTGTTGCTATGATGCATCTTTGCTGAGCAGCATCTCTCGTTATAAACCAACCAATCAGTGCACAGCTCATATAAATATTCATGAGCATACCATAAAATGAAGAAAACCTGTCATTTCATTCTGAGGCTTATAACCAGGCTTGCATTAGGGCTCATAGAACAGCAAATATGACATTTTCAGCCCAACCAATGTTACACACCCTAATGCTGTGCTACAGAAGGTAAATCAAACTGATTGTCATTCTTTTTCTGTTTTTACCTTCTTACTGTCACTAGTTAATTCAGCTTAGGTTGGTGGTTTGATTTTATTCTGAAAATTCACTAGGACTGGTGCTTGTTTTACTTTTTGGAGTGCAGGCTTGGTCCAGAGATCACAGAGGCATCCAGACACACTCCCTTTCCTTGGAAGACTTTTGAGCATTGAGTGTGAGCCTGACTTTATTCGTGGTTCCCATGGAAAACACAATTTGTGGTAGGGGGAAGCAGCCACACAGAAACATGCTGTGTGGCTGAAGTCTCTACAAACCTAAATGAAGAAACATGTTCCAAAAAAAGAAAAGCATGAGTGAAGAGCACATACCAATGAAGATGTTGAAAACAATGCAGCAATCATCTTCACCTATCATCAAGCAACTTCCTTCTTGAAGAAGTGGCTCAAGGAAGGAGATGTATTTTTGCTACACTTTGATGATCAGTCGTGGGAGGACAGAGAATGTGTCAAAAGGAACAAATTAGACAAATAAGGGCCTACCAAGGTCCGCTCACCTCTGATTGGTGAACTGGCACAGCTTTAAAAAACTGCTCAATTTAGTACCGTGGGACGGCAGTTTGGTGGTTGTGAACATGAGATATGTGTAAATGTCTTCATGGAAACAATGCTGGTTAGATGTGAGCTATGTCACCAATGATGTTAACTTCCTTTTTAACTTTTATATTTTGAGAATGTGAGATAGTAGAGAGGAAGTTTGCTGTGGTGGCTGCAATAGCTCTATTACACAGAGCATATTGAACACAAATAAAACCTCTTGTTTTAATGGCTAAATGAAAAAAAAGATGTCTATTAAAAAAAATTATGATTTTTGCATGTTTTGCTGCATAAAATCTCAATGAAATTAGGTATAAGTCAGTTAGTTTTACAGAAATGTTTCAGGGTTAGAGGTTCCACTTCTTTTATTTTGCTGCTTTTGTTTTTAACATGATACATCATTTTCTTCTACATCTCAAAAAGAGGCTGCCCCAAACTCTAAAACTGTTAAAAAAGAATTTGAGAAGATTTTAAATATTGCAATGAATTAAATGATGTCAGAGAAACAACATCCTCTGAGTCACAGAGGTTGTTGAGACATCCGCTAAAAAAATGACACCTTAACTACATGGGCTGTGTCATGTGTTTATGTTTAAAATAAGCTGCTTTACAGCCTCAGTCATTAGTGAAGGTATGAAGAGACAGAAGCATGATGATTTCATTTGGACTGATTTTCATGCCTTTATTTCTAATTCTGATACTTCAGTTTACAGGTAAGAAATATTCTAAAAAACCTCAGTTTAACAATATTTAGGAGGGCTGTTAAACATACTACTAGAAAGTGTTTAATATTTATTATATTTTGTTTGTGGCCTAAAAGCAGAAGATGAGACGTTCGAATAAGCTTGTGTTAAATCTTGATCTTAATCTACTTGTAGCAGTAATTTGTGACACAGTCTTTTATGTTTTCACTGCAGCAGCTGCTGGGCAACAACGAGCTTTCTTCACCGTTAAAGTCGGTCATGAGGTAACTTTGCCCTGTGCATATGGAGGACAAGAGAAAGATAACAGTCACAGAATAGAATGGACGTTTGATCATCCAGGAAGCAGAAACGTATCGTTGTTCAAACAAGGGATTTTCACAGAGGAAGATCAAAATAAATCAGGCAGACTGAGTGTTACGGCAAACTATTCTCTGGTCATTAAGAACGTCACAGCAGATGATTCTGGTCATTACTACTGCAAAAGGAAGACAACAGACCAAAAAGTCCCCCTCATTAAGGTTGATCTGAATGTTGTCACCAGTGAGTATTTATATCACATATTCAGTCAGTGTTCCTTAGTAATACAGCAATGAAGCTGGATTTACTCTTGTTGTCTTTTTTTAATAATATCTCCATCTTTCCAGTGACTGAACAGAGGAACAATGAGGAAGTCACCTTTAACTGCTCTGTGTCAACTCCTACCATCTGCAAACATACAGTGGTGTGGCTGTATGACGGCAAAAAGAAAATATCTTCAGACAAGAACACATCAACTCTCTGCTCAGCATCTCTCACAATCCCATCATCTCAGCTCAATCATTCTAAGTTTTATGAGTTATTAAAGTGCAAAGTTACAGCTGTTTATGATAGAAAATACGAACTGTTCACCTTCAGCCATCAGTCATCAGGAGAGAAAACAGGTGAGAACACGGCCCACTTTTTAACAACAGCCTTTGTCCTGTTACCTATCACTAGTAAAGTTAGCATGGGTTGATTTTATTCTGAAATTCACTGGAATTCTGTCTGATGCGTGCATTTCTGTTTTGGTGTGTAAGCTTGAACCAGAGATGAGGCATCCCATTAGCAGAAAGAGTTTTTAGCTTTCAGTGTCGGCCAGTTTTTATTTATGGTCCCCATGGAGACCACTGTATTTATGAGGTGGGAGCAGTAACACATAAACATGCTGTGTGGCTGCTGTTTGTGAATACTCTACAAACCTTAGCTATCAAGCATTTTGCAATAAAAAACAAATCATGAGTGAACAGCAGGTCTCCAAAACAACAGAGGAATAAACTTTCCCCCTTAGGACTGGCATTTCATACACTGTATGGGTTTAAAAGTTCACAGCTCATCATATATGTTCTGACACAGTGAGGCCTGACTGTCTGATGCCATCTAATTGCTCACACTGTACATCCAAAAACCTCATATTGGACTCAGCGCAGTAGAGAGATTATCGCTGGTCAGACTCGTCTAACTGACTGTAAAGTTAAAGAGGAACTCCCTTGTTTGCACATGTGCAGTGAGTGTGTGAGGTTGAGCTAAATTGGATCATAGACGCTCGTACTCTGCTCAAACAGCAGTAAGCCCTCATTCTCCCTACGAGGGCAGGCGGAATTGCAAAATGTTTGATTTTCATCCAGCCATATGATTCCAGATCAGTAGGTGGTCATGAGAGACTGATTACCCCTTGTAACTACCTGTATACCACACGAAGCAGGACATATGATGAGGCTCCATGAGGCACAATAGTAATAAAGTGTATTAAAGGAGAAACAAAACAACCTCTGAGTCCCTATTACAAAATCACACATCCATAAACCATATGGACTGTCTCTGTTTTAATGTTTAAAAGAAGCTGCTTTACAGCCTCAGTTATTAGCGAAGGGATGAAGAGACAGAAGCATGATGATTTTTTTTGATACATTTTAATGCCCTTATTTCTGATTCTGATACTTCTGTTCACAGGAAAGAAATAATATAATAAATGTTCATTTTACAATATTTAGGAGGGCCATTAAACATGTTACTAGAGAGTGTTTAATATTTATTAGTTTTGTTTGTGGCCTAAAAGTTTAAAAAAAAAATAGATGTTCTAATAAGCTTGTGAGGTCACTTTACCCTATGCAAAGGGAACACAAGAGAAAGATAATAGAATGGGAGCTTGATCATCTTGGAAGCAAAGACGTATCATTGTTCAGACGAGGCTGCTCATTGCCTGAGTGGGTAGTACAGTGGATAGCCAGCTTCAAGTCCTGGTCTGGGGTCTTTCTGCACCGAGTTTGCATGTTCTCCCTCTCCATGCGTGGGTTCTCTCAGGGTACCCCGGCTTTCTCCCACAGTCCAAAAACATGACTTCTCTAGATTCTCCTTAGTTGTGAGTGTGTGTGAACAGGTGTTTGTCCTGTGTGTCTCCTGTGTGGTGTACTAAAGCAGTTTACTTTAATTTAATTTCTATAATATTACAATTGCTGTAAAACCACCACTGTTTAGTCTAACATTATAACTTCAATTACAAAAGAGTTACCATGATATTAGAATAAATTACTGGGGAATAACAGCATTTTTCTATACATCCTCTTAATTGGCCCTGTGTTTAACACTGTAATATTAAAGTAATCTACAAGTTGACAGATTTGTACAGTATATCAAGCTCATACATTCATCTATCTTTTGCCGCTTCATCGCTCAGGGTCCATGTGGGGCTGGTGCCTATCCGGGGTACACCCTGGACAGGTTGCCAGTATGTCGCAGGGTAACATAGAGACACACAACCACTCACACCTAAGGGAAATTCAGAGAAGCCATTGAACCTAACAGTCATGTAATGTTAATTCGAGAAAAAGGCGGAGTAGGGGGAGAGAATTGATGCATTCAAGGGGAGATCATGTTTCCATGCTGACTGACCCTTGGCCATAAATCGCACCCAGGACCTTTTACTGCAAAGCAGCAGTGTTACAAACAGTGCCGTCGTTCAGCTTCAAACAAATCCATTTACTGTAGATTTAATATCATTGTACTAAAAAAAAAGTTAATGTTAGCCAAAGGCATGTTTGTTAAAAAATAAATATTTTTAACATACATTAAATATTAAGAACTTTATTAATTCAATTTATTTGAATTTCTGGCCATAAAAACACCTTAAAATGCAGTTGAATATTTCAGAAACTGCAATTTCAGCATCCTGTCATTCATCTAATTAATCAGCTTTGTCACAATAACATAAGACTCAATTAAGGTCTACCTGCCAAGATCAGAAAGGACGGGAGAAAGATTGATGAAGGGATTTGGAAAGGGTCAGAAACTGCTCACACTGAGTCCACACACAACAGTGTTGACAGTGTGAAACTCTTATATTGAGGTGTTTTCTTTAGTAACAAGTGTTAAACTTTATCTTGAGTTTTAAATGTATTTGGATTCTTTTTTTAAACTTTCTGTGTCGTTAATATTGATGTTCCTTCAAAACTCAAATTATGTGATTATGCAAAGAAACACAGCCGTACGAAACATGAATTGTTACCTGAGTTGTTTATAATAATTATTAAAAAATGGTGCTATTTAAAAAAATATCTTTGCTCCTAATCTTTATTAATTTTGGGAGCCGGGGTGTCCTGGTAAAAAAAAGCTAAACACACAGCCCTGGTTATGCATGTTGTTTACCTTCTCAATTCTACATGGAGGAGAGAAACTGCTTCTTCCATTCTAATAGTTCAATTTCCATTATGCATTTAAATAAAGTATTTTACTAGAATAATACAACTGAATCTCTGGAATCCTTTTCATTTTTAAGTGTGCTGCTGTGATATTACAGACCTTGTTTTGAAATAACAATGTTTTTGATTGTGGGATTTTACTGTACATTAAGAATTTGATGCTTTAAAATCAGGTATTCATTGGAATATTACAGGAAAACTAAATTAAAAGAAATTACTGTAAAATAATACTGTTAATCATCGTGGAAATATGGTAATTTCTAACATTGTAAGACGGTTGTGTTAAATCTTGATCTCTTGTTAGCAGTAATGTGTGACACAGTCTTCCATGTTTTCACTGCAGTAGCTGCTGGGCCACACCAACCTTTCTTCACTGTTAAAGTCGATGATGAGGTCACTTTGCCTGCTGCAAAGGGCAACACAAGAGAAAGGTAACTGTGACAGAATAACATAGATGTTTGATCATCCACGAAGCAAAAACATATCATTGTGCAGACGAGTGATTTTCACAGAGGAAGCTAAACTAAATCATTTATTTTAGGTTGTTTTTGTTTTTTCCCACATGCAGAAATTAACCTAGCCTGAGTCTGGATTGGAGATTATCACTGATTAACTTTGATCAAAGTGTTTTCTTTTAATTCCAGGTGATTTTTCCTTCCTGAGATACATCATTGTACTTGTGGGTGTAGCAGTACTTCACATATGTGTTGTATCAGTTACTATATGGAGGAAAAGGCAAAGTAAGAATATCCCGAAAGTTCTCAGAAACATTGATAACATATAATTTTGATTGTTGGGGCAAAATATTACAGGAAAACTAAATTAAAAGAAATTACTGTAAAATAATACTGTTAATCATCGTGGAAATATGGTAATTTCTAACATTGTAAGACGGTTGTGTTAAATCTTGATCTCTTGTTAGCAGTAATGTGTGACACAGTCTTCCATGTTTTCACTGCAGTAGCTGCTGGGCCACACCAACCTTTCTTCACTGTTAAAGTCGATGATGAGGTCACTTTGCCTGCTGCAAAGGGCAACACAAGAGAAAGGTAACTGTGACAGAATAACATAGATGTTTGATCATCCACGAAGCAAAAACATATCATTGTGCAGACGAGTGATTTTCACAGAGGAAGCTAAACTAAATCATTTATTTTAGGTTGTTTTTGTTTTTTCCCACATGCAGAAATTAACCTAGCCTGAGTCTGGATTGGAGATTATCACTGATTAACTTTGATCAAAGTGTTTTCTTTTAATTCCAGGTGATTTTTCCTTCCTGAGATACATCATTGTACTTGTGGGTGTAGCAGTACTTCACATATGTGTTGTATCAGTTACTATATGGAGGAAAAGGCAAAGTAAGAATATCCCGAAAGTTCTCAGAAACATTGATAACATATAATTTTGATTGTTGGGGCAAAATACAAAGACTACTGGTCTGGATACTGAATTCACAAAAAAATACATCACAGGCGGAATACACTATTGCATTTGTTATAATTACCTGTATTGAATAGTTATACAATGTGTTGCATATTTTTTAAGAACATGATTTCTGATTTGAGTTAATTGATGAAGAAAAATTTATGAAGAAAAATATATATTTTAAGAAACAGAAAATCCATAACTAAATCCATATTGCTAACCCACTGTGTTTTTTCCAATTAGGGGATGGTGGTCTTCAGCAGGAAGAGACTGTGGTGTATGAAAATACAAGAGAGCCTTCTGCATCCATCATATTAGACTGATCAATTTTTTTCAAAATCTACAGCGCAAAAAAACTCAAAAATATGAAAGTGTGCTGTTTATTCATATATAATTTTTCAATAATCCAAATGGTGTTAATAGTAATATATACGTCGAGAGCATTAGAACAAGCTGGAATAAAAGTAAAAAAGAAATAATAAAATGCATATGACATTTTTTGGACTTTTCTTATAAGTCATATAATACACTCACCGGCCACTTTATTAGGTACCCCATGCTAGTAACGGGTTGGACCCCCTTTTGCCTTCAGAACTACCTCAATTCTTCGTGGCATAGATTCAACAAGGTTCTGGAAGCATTCCTCAGGGAGTTTGGTCCATATTGACATGATGGCATCACACAGTTGCCGCAGATTTGTCGGCTGCACATCCATGATGCGAATCTCCCGTTCCACCACATCCCAAAGATGCTCTATTGGATTGAGATCTGGTGACTGTGGAGGCCATTTGAGTACAGTGAACTCATTGTCATGTTCAAGAAACCAGTCTGAGATGATTCCAGCTTTATGACATGGTGCATTATCCTGCTGAAAGTAGCCATCAGAAGTTGGGTACATTGTGGTCATAAAGGGATGGACATGGTCAGCAACAATACTCAGGTAGGCTGTGGCGTTGCAACGATGCTCAATTGGTACCAAGGGGCCCAAAGAGTGCCAGGAAAATATTCCCCACACCATGACACCACCACCACCAGCTTTAACCGTTGATACAAGGCAGGATGGATCCATGCTTTCATGTTGTAGACGCCAAATTCTGACCCTACCTTCCAAATGTCGCAGCAGAAATCGAGACTCATCAGACCAGGCAACGTTTTTCCAATCTTCTATTTTCCAATTTCGATGAGCTTGTGCAAATTGTAGCCTCAGTTTCCTGTTCTTAGCTGAAAGGAGTGGCACCCAGTGTGGTCTTCTGCTGCTGTAGCCCATCTGCCTCAAAGTTCGACGTACTGTGCGTTCAGAGATGCTCTTCTGCTCACCTCGGTTGTAACGGGTGGTTATTTGAGTCACTGTTGCCCTTCTATCAGCTCGAACCAGTCTGGCCATTCTCCTCTGACCTCTGTCATCAACAAGGCATTTCCGCCCACAGAACTGCCGCTCACTGGATGTTTTTTCTTTTTCGGACCCTTCTCTGTAAACCCTAGAGATGGTTGTGCGTGAAAATCCCAGTAGATCAGCAGTTTCTGAAATACTCAGACCAGCCCTTCTGGCACCAACAATCATGCCACGTTCAAAGTCACTCAAATCACCTTTCTTCCCCATACTGATGCTCGGTTTGAACTGCAGGAGATTGTCTTGACCATGTCTACATGCCTAAATGCACTGAGTTGCCGCCATGTGACTGGCTGCTTAGAAATTAAGTGTTAACGAGCAGTTGGACAGGTGTACCTAATAAAGTGGCCGGTGAGTGTATATTATCTAAATGAAAAAAACATCCAGATAATTATTACATGAAAAAATTAAACTGAACTACATGGTAACTGAGCATCTGAACAGCTGGGTTTCCAGCTCTGAACTAAAACCTGCTGGCTCAGTGATTGATTGTTAGTCTGTTAGTAAGGAGCTCTAGAGCTTTGAGACAACAGCAGTAAACCAACGATCCTCCTATTTACAGCATGCTCTATTTGTGGTGGGTAAGAGCTCCGTCATGTAGGCTGGAGAATGGGCATTGATGGTCTTTAAAAAAAAACATTTGGGACCTTAAAGTCTATCCTGTATGTATAGGAGCAATAGAGAGAGGCAGGCCCCTTCAATTTATATTAGCTGAAGCTTGTGGAGGATGAATTAACTCATTTCTGTGGATTTACAATCCAAACTTGAGGTAATGAACACATAATTTTTTTATTAGTCTGGGCAAGAAAGGCTTCGCTTTCATTAAGAGCTATAACTGGGAATGTTTGCTCTGATCTCTGAGTTTGAAAAACTTAAAGACCCTGTCAAATACCTCCCCTATGACTTCCTCATGGGTGAAGGAAACGGATGAGGAGCCAAAAATGACAGCATTGCAATGGGACTGAGAACTGAAGATATGTACTAACTTTTGCCCTTATGTTGGTGTAAGAAAAAATGTATTCGAGCTATTTTAGTTCAAGAAATAAAAACGAACTATTAACAGTATTTGTTATTACATTACTTATAGTTTCCCAGGATGACTCTTCTTGATTTGAATTTGTGATAGTTTTCATAACACCTTTCCTTTTTTTATATTAACTCTGCAGTTATTTGCCTTTCTTTTTCAAGTTGGTTAGTTTTCTTGTGCTTTGTATGACGTTGGTTTAGCTATATTTTAATTGTCCATCTAGAGAGTTTTTTTAACTGAAGCATAGTAACTATAAATCGATAAATTCTTAGGTTTTGAAGGGTTGTCTGTTTCTTCTGTTTATGTGTGTTAGCATTGATTTTTGTAAATGCACTCATTTATTCAATGTATTCTTCTATACCACTTCACCAGCAAAATTTCCATAAAATAACTTATAAAGACTTACAGCTGTTGTGCTTTTAATTCCTAAAGACCAGGTGGTGCTCCAGCAGACCATATGCATCACCACTCTCTGACCCATCTGTACAGTTTCCAGTGCAGGGGACAAGAGAATTAAGAGTTCCTTATTGTGGTTAAGGCTGGGGGTTTATCATAAACTTCAACAGGAGCTGGGTGGCAATTATGGCCTTCTCTTTTTATGTTTAAATAAAGCAGAGAAGCACGGTCAACCATGGGTTAAATGCTGAGAGTTAATTTGGTTGCTTTATACTTGTGACCATGTAATGACAATAACGTTAAATTCTAATTTAAATCTTATTTTGTTTTGAAGGGCTTATGGAATAAAAATAATGTGTTCAAACAGTGGAATAAGGCTGATTCCACTTCTTTTCCATATTTTTTTTTTTTTTTTTACAGTGTCCTGTCTGGCAATGTGGCAATAAGAATAATTGTCTTGATGCCAAAAAGAGCCCAACAGATTTTACTTTCACAAGTGTAGCGGTATGGCAATTGCCATACTGCTCCACTTGTTTCATGCATATAAATAGCTTTATTATAATTATGCAGGGAGTTTTACAGTTTATATGGACACTGCAATGTAAATAGAGCAGAAAAACAGAAGAAGAAAAGGAAAAAAGAAAAAAAAAGGACAAAAGAAAAAAGAAAGAAGAGATACAAAGGAGATAATAACAAAACATTTTCAGTCTGCTTCATCACCTGTAACGAGATGAAAAAAGAACAGCACAACCGAAAGACATGGTACGAGACATACAATAAATCAACACCTTGAACTATCGCTAAAGTAATATTATTAAGTCTGACATGTACTCTGTGTTACCTGAAGATATGAATGTGGGCTTTCTGTATGGAAGTGAATCTCTAAGTACCTGGAGCCTAGCACCTGTAGTTGTTTGTGAGGGTGAACTTGTGCATGTAAAGTTTATCCTTAGAAAAAAAAAATGCTCAATAGTGGTTGTGGAGAGCTGAAGAGGCACACCCCCCAGAGCACTGAGTCCAGCGCCGGGAGACCCAAAGCCCCAGGCGCCAAAGGGACCCCAAGAGCGAAGGCACCAAGGAGGGGCCAGCCCCGGAAATCAGACCCCCACCAAGGGAGGAGGAGAGACAGCCCCGAAGAAGCCCCCCAGCCACAGCATGCCGCCATCCTGAAGTAGGGCCGGGCACCAAACACCGGCCCCCCCACGGCACAGACCGAAACGCCCCAGCCCCACAGAGCACCGAAACATGCCCCGTCCCCCGGCACCAAGCCTTGGCGACCGGCCGCAACACCCAACACGACCGCACCACCCAGGAAAAACACACAGGTTTGTGTGTCCGCCGCCCCCCCTGCCACTCACACCAGCCCCCTACACGGGCCGAAGCAGCTCCACCGCCCCGGCCCCCCGACGCGCGCCGGCCGGAGCTACTTCACCCCCCACCCACCAGGCAGCCACACCCACCGCGATCAGTGGGAACAAAGCAGTTCCACCATGCCTCCAAGTGGGAAAACCCACCCACACCAGCCCCCCAACACCACCCCCGCCGGAGCCGCCCAGACCACCACACAACGGGCCCGCCCGCCCCCCGAGAAAACAGACATGCCAATCCCCCCAAAAAAGAGAAAAAAAAAACTCCAAGCAGAAAGGCCCGCACAATGCGACAGTGGACACCGATCCACCCACAACCGCTCCCCCCCACCGAAAAGAAAAATAAATAAATAAATTAATTAATTAATATAAAAATTAAATAAATAAAAATTCCCCTATGCAAGAGGAGAAATGCAAACGGAAAAACCAGAGCCCAAAACAAAAGCCAAGACCTGCACCTCATAATGTATTGCAACTCTCCTCCTCCCCGATACCACAAAACCGGCATCGGAAAAAGCATCGCCAAGGAACAGGCATCGAAGCGAAGGCACCGGCCCCAGCACTGAAAATCCCCGAACAACACCCAGCCTCACCCCAAAGTGAATCCAGTCCTGGGCCCCAGGGATTCGAGGCCCCAGGGGCGCCCGACCCCCAGACAGGTGCCCCAGCAAGTCCCCGGCCGGCCAGGGCCCATGGAGAGGCCGCCAGGAATGAGCCAGCAGCCACCCGGGCATCCACCCCCAGACCCCGAGCTCCACCAGTGCACCGGCGAGCCCTGACGCCAGCCAGCGGAGGGAGAGCAGGACGGGGGGAATGGGCTCCGAACTTAGCGGAGATTTGAGATGTATTTGGGAAAGGGTGCAGTTGAGACCCCAACCTGGGAGAGAAAAAAAACCAAAAAAAAAAACCACACACAATCTCAATCTCGTGCCCCCACTCGCATCACGCACCAAAGACCCGGTGGCACCGGTGGTTGGTCCCGGGACTATCGGATGACCCAATAAGTGAACCTAAAATCGGGATGAGGGGAGGGGAGCGGCAACACCGCCACAACAACCCATCTCATTCCTGCTTCGAACCTGGCCCCCCACCCCGCTCACGTACCGGACCACCACCAGCAAGGGATGATACAGACTCCAGGCGGCAGCCGGAGAACAGGGGTGTAAGAAGAACCCGATCCTCCATCAGATGTAATTAAAACTGGGAGTACCAATAGGGGGTGTCCGGCACAGTCCACCCCCCCTCCGGGAGATAGACAGTGCCAGGGCACCCCCCCCCCCTCGACAACCCTGAACCCTCAATGTCTAGATGCGAGAGGGGATGGAGGAGGCCGACCGTGGTGAGGCCCATAAAATAAGCCGACCACAGGGCCCTTCTATCATTAACCCTGTATGTGCTTGAGGAAATAGGAAAGTCTTTTTGCTACAATTTTATGATCAGTTGTGTGATGTCAGAGAATGTTTCAAAAGGAACAAATTAGCCAAAGGAAAGCCTCCCACGATCCACTTAGCTTTGATTGGTCAATTGGTGCAGCAGAAAAAAAACCCTCACTTTAGTACCATGGGATGACGTGTTTGTGGTTGTGTGCATGAGCTATGTGCTTAAATGGAAACAAATCTGGTGGTACAGCTTCTGTATGTCACCGGTTATGTTTTTAAATATAGAGACTGAGTTAACTTCCTTTTAAAGCTTACATGCTGAGAAAATGAGCTACCAGAGAGGAAGTTGGCTGTGGTTGCTGCATTAGGCATGATACACAGAACACAAAATATAAATAAAACAGAAATAAAAGTTTTGGTTTTCCTGGCTGAATAATGACATATTTTCATTTAAAAAAGCTTAAATGTAGCATAATTATAATATTCTAATGCTTAAGTAGCTTTTACGGTGCGACCAAACAAACTGCAGTTAGGCACAAATCTGTTAGTTTTACTGAAATGTTTCATGTTTAGAGACTCATGTTCTTGTCTTACATTTATGCTCTCTTTTCTAATAGCTGTCAGTTTTAAAAATATTTAAAAATATTTTAAGAATTATAATGAAGTGAATGATGTGAGAAAAACAACATCCTCTGAGTCATTATTACAAAAATCACACCTCCATAAACCACATGGGCTGTGTCACGTGTTTATGTTTAAAAGGAGCTGCTTTACAGCCTCAGTCATTAGTTTAGGTATGAAGAGACAGAAGCATGATGACTTCATTTGGATTGATTTTAATGCCTTTATTTCTAATTCTGATTCTTCAGTTCACAGGTAAGAAATAATATTTAAAAAAAACGTCCAATCAACAATATTTAGGTAACTATTAAACATCTTACAAGAGAGTGTTTAATATTTATTATGTTTTGTTTGTTGCCTAAAAGCAGAAGCTGAGACGTTCTAATAAGGTTGTGTTAAATCTTGATCTTAATCTACTTGTAGGCAGTAATTTGTGACAGTCTTTTATGTTTTCACTGCAGCAGCTGCTGGGCAACAACGAGCTTTCTTCACCGTTAAAGTCGGTGATGAGGTCACTTTGCCCTGTGGAAATGGAACACAAGAGAAAGATAACCGTGACAGAATAGAATGGGAGTTTGATCATCCAGGAAGCAAAAACGTGTCATTTTTCAGACGAGGGATTTTCACAGAGGAAGCTAAAGCTAAATCAGGCAGACTGAATGTTACAGCAAACTATTCTCTGGTCATTAAGAACGTCACAGCAGATGATTTTGGTCATTACTACTGCAGAAGGAGCACAACAGACCAAAAACTCAGCCTTATTAAGGTTGATTTGAATGTTGTCACCAGTGAGTATTTATATTACACTGTTATTCAGTCAAAGTGTCCGTTATTAATTCAGCGATGAAGCTGGATTTACTCTTGTCTTTTTTTAATAATATCTCCATATTTCCAGTGACTGAACAGAAGAACAATGAGGAAGTCACCTTTAACTGCACTGTGTCAGCTCCTCCCGTCTGCAAACATAGAGTGGTGTGGCTGTATGAGGGCAAAGAGAAAATATCTCCAGACAAGAACACATCAACTCCCTGCTCAGCATCTCTCACAATCCCATCATCTCAGCTCAATCATTCTAAGTCTTATGACTTATTAAAGTGCAAAGCTACAGACAGTTATGATAGAAAAGACCGACTGTTCACCTTCAGCCATCAGTCATCAGGAGACAAAACAGGTGAGAACACGGACCACTTTTTAACAACAGCCTTTATCCTGTTTTACCTTGTTGCTTTCACTACTAAAGTTAGCATGGGTTGATTTTATTCTGAATTTCACCGGAATTCTGTCTGATGCTTGTATTTCTGTTTTGGTGTGCAAGCTTGAACCAGAGATGAGGCATCCCATTAGTAGAAAGAGTTTTTAGCTTTCAGTGTGGGCCTGTCTTTATTTATGGTCCCCATGGAAACCACTGTATTCAGGAGGAGGGAGCAGTAACACATAAACATGCTGTGTGGCTGCTGTTTGTGAATACTCTACAAACCTTAGCTATCAAGCATTTTGCAATAAAAAACAAATCATGAGTGAACAGCAGATACCTGAAACGATTTCCAAAACAAGAGAGCAATACACTTCCACCCTTAGGGCTTATATTTAATACATTGTATTGGTTTAAAAGTTCACAGCGCATCATGTTCTTACACGGGGGGCCTAATTCTCTGATGCCATCTAAATGCTCACACTGTACTTCCAAATACCTCACATTGCACTCAGAGCAGTACAGAGATTATCGCTGGTCAGACTCGTCTATCTGACAGTAAAGAGGAACTCCCTTGTTTGCACATGTGCAGTGTGTGAGGTTGAGGTAAATTGGCTCATAGATGCTTGTAGCTCTGCTCCAACAGCAGTAAGCCCTCATATTCTCCCTACGAGGGTGGGTGGAATTGCAAAATGTTTGATTTTCATCCAGCCATATGATTCCAGATCAGTAGGTGGTCATGAGAGGCTGATTACCCCTTGTAACTACCTGTATACTACAAGACACAGGACATATGACGAGGCTCCATGAGGCACGATAGTAATAAAGTGAATTAGGGAAAAAAAAAAGAACCTCTGAGTCCTTATTACAAAATCAAACATCCATAAACCGTATGGACTGTCTCTGTTTTCATGTTTAAAAGAAGCTGCTTTACAGCCTCAGTCATTAGCGAAGGGATGAAGACTAGAGACTGACATTTTTTCGGGAATCCCACAGGTCACGGGATTCCCGTGGGATGAGAGTCAGTATTAGTAACGATCACATGATTGGGACGGTACAGGATTAAACATTAACGGGAGCAGACGGGAGCGATAGCAAACCAATAGTAACAAAAAAATAAATAAAATAGGATCGATGCCATAAAATAAAATAGAAAGAAAAAAAAATCCAATACTGGCGCCGCCATTTTGTAGTTTTTGTCCTTGAAGCCTGCACTATAATGCGACCCAAAAAAACTACACGACCCAAAAACCAACAGTGCTTCCCCTCTGAGTTTTTCACCCGCACTCAAAAGAAATTCAGATTCAATGAATTGGCAGAAATCTTTTTGAAGACAACAAGAATGGGAGTGGTGCAGGAGCGGGAGTCATTCTGAATGGGAGCGGGATGGTACTGGGAGTAATTTCAACAGGAGTGGGATGGGACAGGATTTAGATTTCTACTCTGGCCCGGGATCGGGACGGGACACACTTTTTTTCTGTGGGAGTGGAACGGGACAGGAGTGAAAATCCACTCCTGTGTCAGTCTCTAATGAAGAGACAGAAGCATGATGATTTTTTTGGATCTATTTTAATGCCTTTATTTCTAATTCTGACACTTCAATTCACGGGTAAGATATAATATACATTTATAAAAAAATATTTAGGAGGGCCATTAAACATGTTACCAGAGAGTGTTTAATATCTATTATGTTTTTTTTTTGTGGCCTAAAAGCAGAAGCTGAGACGTTCTAATAAGCTTGTGTTAAATCTTGATCTTAATCTACTTGTAAGCAATAATTTCTGACACAGTCTTCCATGTTTTCACTGCAGCAGCTGCTGGGCAACAACGAGCTTTCTTCACTGTTAAAGTCGGTGATGAGGTCACTTTACCCTGTGCAAATGAAACACAAGAGAAAGATAACCGTGACAGAATAGAATGGGAGTTTGATCATCCAGGACGCAAAAACGTATCATTGTTCAAACAAGGGATTTTCACAGAGGAAGATAAAAATAAATCAGGCAGACTGAGTGTTACAGAAAACTGTTCTCTGGTCATTAAGAATGTCACAGCAGAGGATTCTGGTCATTACTACTGCAGAAGGAACACAACAGACCAAAAAGTCCCACGCATTAAGGTTGATCTGAATGTTGTCACCAGTGAGTATTTATATCACATATTCAGTCAGTGTTCCTTAGTAATACAGCAATGAAGCTGGATTTACTCTTGTTGTCTTTTTTTAATAATATCTCCATCTTTCCAGTGACTGAACAGAAGAACAATGAGAAAGTCATCTTTAACTGCTCTGTGTTAACTCTTACTGTCTGCAAACACACCCTGGTGTGGCTGTATGAGGGAAAAAACAAAATATCTCCAGACAAGAACACATCAACTTCCTGCTCAGCAGTTCTCACAGTCCCATCATCTCAGCTCAATCATTCTAAGTTTTATGAGTTATTAAAGTGCAAAGCTACAGACGGTTATGATAGAAAAGACCAACTGTTCACCTTCACCCATCAGTTATCAGGAGAGAAGACAGGTGAGATAAATTTCTCAACATCATCTTAAATAACAAAATATTTCTTTTTTTTTGCTGTGCATTTAATGAGTTTAATATAATCAAAGATATCATGTATCTAAACTGCTGCTTGTTTCCAGTTAATAATACAACTACTGTCTTCATTAACACAAACGAATCAACATCTACAGAAGAATCAACATTAGCTACAGTAACTAAATCAGAGACAACAGAGTCCGTTTTTTCATCAAACGATGCATTTCCAACATCGGTTACTCCAACAACAACCCGACTTACCAAAATGAGTCGAACTAAATCCCGAGGTACAAATGAATTTTATTTAGTGTTTAAATTAAAGCCCTGCAGTTTTTAGTTGTTCAGTTATCAGAAGTTAGAGCAAACCTTGTTTGATGGACAGACAGCCATTAAATATCTTAGTGCTTTTTTAGGTCTGTAATGAAATAAAAGTACCATCAGAGCATAAGAACAATTTATACAGCATAAAGTTCGGGACAAATTAATATAATTGTTAAAACAAAGTAAAACACAGGATCCACGTGATCTTTTCATTTTTTAAAAATAAACTTACTCTAATGTGACATCTGTCTGCTACAGGAAAATAAACAAATGGGAATATCCCCTAGATAAATCCAAACCAATCCTTTAATTGCAAACAAAGCCTACATTTTAGGGTTGCTTATTTTTGGTCCCCCTGACTGTGCTTAATATCCATCATCTTTTTAACAGGTTGGATTTGGTGGACTTCTATGTTTTCTGTGGTGTTAGCAGGACTCATAATAACTGTGATAGTAACCATCAGGTTACGGAAAACTAAAGGTCAGAACAATCACTTATTCATTTTATAAAGATATTTGAGACTTTTATGATCTCAAACTACAGTACTTGCTCTTCTAACGTGCACAACGAGAGATAAAGAAACATTAACCTTCAAAACAATGATTGGATGTATAAATACATCCACATATACTTGTTTTGAACTTTTATGAGTTAAAAATTTTCATTCTAAACCCGTTTCTTCTCTTTCAGGAAATACGAGGGAACCTGAAGAAAGAGCTGTGAGTTTAAACATTCAAATACAACATCTCAAAATCTTTCACATTTTTTGTTATGCTTGTATTTAGCCATTTTTTGACTTTTACCAACCAAAAAAAGAGGTGGTAGTCAGTGGCGGCTAGTGAAAAATATTTTTGGTGGGGCTGATATAGCCTAGTGAATGTCTCCAACTAATCCAGAATAAGAATTCAAATAAACAATTGGAAATGAAATACAATTTAACAGTAATGATTTAATTTACTATATAATAACAGTAACAGTGATGATTTTGGTCACTGTGACGGGGTTCTTTGGCCTCCAAGAATCCAGTCTCAGTCGGGTTACCGGTGTTGGGGATTTATTGTGCTCAAAAACTCAAAACAGGGTGCAAAAGAAACTAAACATATACAAGATAATCTGGGCCTCAGCCTCCCTCCAGTTACCAGCAATGTAACAAAGAAACAGAAAACAAAAATGGCCGCTCATCTTCCCACAGCCCTCATTAAATAGTTTAAGCCCCTCCCCTCAGGCTCTCTTATTTCCGATTTCTTCTCATAAATCAGTTTTGTCCATATATTACCTCCACAAACAATTGATGTACAAAAACAAATAATTTTTACAACTTAATTTCTTTACACAGATTCATTGAATTATTCAATTACACCAAACTTTTAAACATAAAATAAAAAAAATATATAATCTGACAAACATTTAGCAAGTCACGTGTTGGTGACGTCACTTCCGCATTCCAACAACTCTGGCGTTTTAACCGCTTACTGAGCGTTTCCTCGGGTTTGAACCCAGCAAAGACGCCGCCAGACTGAAGATGACAAGTCCCTGTAGCATACACACATACACACACACACACACACACACGGCTAACCCCACTGAAATATTAAGTGTTCACCCTCAATACGCCAGCAGGTAACCAGGTACAGCTTGTGTGTTTTAAGTTAATTGACCGCTACTGTAGGGCTCAGCGCGAGTGTATTGGTCCTCACAAGCACAGTATAACAGGAATGTGTGTGTGGCACGCAACATTAGAGAGGTTGTTTTAAGTGACGAGGTGGATTCGTCACAGTCACAATAACCATGACATGAAATTTTCATATCCTACTGTACAACAGGGATGCTCTTCTGGCAAACGGGTAGATAAGTAAGGAGCTCACCGAATTTGGTGGAAGCTGCATCTCGTTCGTTACATTCGCCATTGTCCCTCTAATTGTCTGCACCTGCGCATTGAGTGCAGAAGCCTGTTAAAGGGCAGTATTTTCAGAGCCCCAAGACCATAAAATTCTGAGACGCTGATTGGCCATTAAATTATTAAGTTGACCTAGCAATAGTACATGGTTGGCAGATTCTATGCACTTGTGGGGCAGTCAAATCAGAGCCCCAAGACAGAGACGGTAGGAGACTGTCTGTGGAAATCCACAAATGAATGACAGTAGATAGGGAAATGTAGTTTATATAATTTGTTTTGCTTATAGGTACACACTCTAGAGAGTACAACTGACATTTATGAGTTAATTTCTAAAAATATATTTTACGTTTCTCTCTTCTTATCAGGGAGGGCGATGGCCCAGCGCCCCCTATGGGCCGGCCGCCACTGGTGGTATTTAGCCCAGAATCTTCCATGACTCAGTTATATAAAAAACAGGGTAGAATGACAACACATGCTTCATCAGCTATATGTAATTGTGATGGAAAACAAACTGATAATATTTATTTTAACCAAAACAGGAAGGACTAATAATTAAAAAACAATAACCTCAAGAAATAGTTTTATTGCTATATACTAGTAGGAATAGATACACAGGAAGGTGTGTTACTAAGGAGTCCCTCTGTTTCGCTGTCCTTTAGGAGGTTGACCCTGTGAAGAATGTTTATACATATATCACCTTCTCCAAGAATTCCAAGAAGAAGAAAAGCAAGCCTGCAGCTCCAGTATGTTCAAACCTTGTATTTAATATATTATTTATTTATATAGGAAATGGTATGAACCAATATGCAAAAATGTGTCTATGCTTTATAACCTTATTTTAAGTTTCCCTTTAATCTTTCAAATAATTTACGGATTGCCTTTAGGGTTGGGAATTGATAAGATTTTCACGACTCCGATTCCCTTGTCAATTCTGTGAAAGGATTCAATTCCTTTTCAATTCTCTTATCGATTCTGTGAATAAAAGAACTTGGTAAGTGCACGGTGACATTCGCCTACCTTAGCCTGGGACATTCTATTTCTCACTGCCTCGGCGAAAACAGAAGGTTTTGAACGGGAGCTGCCAGCCTCTGATTCAGCAAGGCTACCCGTCTTGTCACAGTCATCTAAATCTAATGGAGAAGGCATCAGTTTAATGAAAAAGCATTACTGTACAATTTCGGGAAATAAACTCATCTCCCCCTGATTTAAATAAACGAGCGTCACCTTTCTCTCGCTCCCTGAACTGCAGAGCATCTTTGTAGCATGCTTCATTACATCCATTGCAATAGCTAGAATAATGTAAGAATTCCAGCTACCTGTAGTTGTAATTAAACATGCTAGCAATCAAGGGCTGGATAAACGAGGAAGGCAGATTCCCTTAATAACCCCAGAGAGGGGTGGATAGTGATGTTATGAGATGAGACAGGCATCAAGGCTTGTGTTGAGTAATGGAGGGGGTGTTTCCCTGAAGCGCATGTCGAGGTGTGATTCATTTAGAGGAGGGGCCAAAATTGATGACGTCCGAGGCCTCGCTACCATGATACCATGTGACCACTTCAGGAAGTGGTTCAGAAAGCGCAAGAATTTTGACAGGCATCTAAACAGCCTCAGAATTCAGTCAAGATGTGGAGTTTGTAGGAGTTGCTGTCAGTTAGATAGAGTTTGGATAGATTCTAAGAAAAGATTGGTGGGAAAAACAACAAATCTAGTTGCTTAAAACTATTTTGGTTAGAATAAACAATGTAGTGATCAAATTCTGAGCAAGCAATCGGACAAAGTTGTAACATTAGTACTAAGGAGTATTTTCTACGTTGAATGGTTAACCACATAAGTGGCTTCATCTATGAGACATAGACTCCCTCTCCTGAGGTTGAGGGTTCAAGACCTTGCTTTGACTTTCGAAAGATAGGATTATATTTCATTATTTTGGCTAATGAGACTAATTTGCATAGGTTTGCCCTTGTAAAAATATAGATTGGGTAAAAAAGCTGGCAAATTAGGTTAGCTTAGCCAAAAGATTGGTTGTACACATAACTTCCAACCCAATTAAAACCAAAAACTGTGGAGAAACTATTATATTTGATTAAAAATGACTAACACCTTTCATTTTACTCATCATTGCCCAATTTACACTTTCACTGTCTGTTTGAGTTTATTTCACTAAAATGGCAGTAAAACTGTGCACCGTAAATGATTTTTCAAAGATATTTTAGACTTAAAAAAAAAAATAAAAAATTATTTTATTATACACTCCAACCATTAACAACTTCAGAGGAACTTAAAAGGGGTGGACAAAAAGAGAAACAATTGCAAAAATTTACAGATTTGATTACAAACTGTAGTTCTGCTCTCCACCAGTAGGTGGTGACATGTTCACATGGAGCCTCATGAACTGTGGGGATTGTTGAAGCAATTAGCTCAAACTGTTCAATGCCTCATGAGGCTTCATCTCTACGGAGCCCCCTAGTGGACATGGGGATTTTTTTTTCTTTTGTGTTCCCTCGCAAAACCTTTTGCATTACCTCGCAAAACCTGGCAGTGGAGTTATTGATTTTTATTTGCAACGTTTTGCTGTTGTTTTACCATTTGCAGACGGTCCATAACCACTTGCCTGGCCGTTGCCTGTGCATAGCGATCAATGTAATACATCCAGCTCGGAGAACTGCTCGTTTTTCTCGAAAATAATGCTTTTTGATTTTTGTAGTATGTAGTCTGTGCTATCAGGACATGAAAGAGGCGTCATTTGTGTTTCAACAACGAGAGTTATTGATCCCGGAAGTCCGAATCTTTGAACATCTTTCTAACTTTACCGAAGTAAGGTTTTGCGTTCTCATGCAAAAGGTTTTGCGTGGGAATGCAAAATTTTGTGAGGTAACGCAATACTTTTGCGAGGGAACGCAAAAGAAAACAAAATCCCCATGTCCCTAGGGGGCTCCGTACATCTCAACATCACTAGAGGTAGGAAATTGCTTTATTTCCAGAAATGGCATATGATTTCCTAGGAACCACAATAAGTACAGCCAGTGATATAAAACTAGCTACTTACCAGCAGAGTTGCCCTCCATGCTGGTAACTTTAGCTTCTGTCTGGAAGCATCCAAAATACGGCATTCGTTAAAATGTATGCCATGTTGTGTGCGCAGGTGTTTCTGCATGTTGGATGTATTTCCTCCCACGGATGTGATTGGCACTTTGCAAAGCGCCTGCAAAGTGCCTTGTTACCATCTGTCTCTTCCTTAAAATGAAGCCAAACTTTCGATCGCTTTGACCGATTTTGTTTTGCTTGTCTAGACTTACGCCTGTTCACGTTGTACTTGCTTATTGTGTGCGTAACTTGCGTAAAATACGTGATGCAAGTCGTTCAGCCCAGAGCGGCTCTGGTGCTACCTGGAATTGATAAGAGAATCGTTAAGCGAGCTGCCAAACGGTGCCATGGAATTGGAACACACAGAACCGGTTCTGAACAGGAAGCGGTTTTCGATTCCCATCCCTAATTGCCTTTATGTGCAGTTTTTGAAATAGGTTAGATATCAGGAAGCAATATTCCTCTGATTGACTGGAATTTACAATCATAACCCATTCTTGCTAATCTGCTTCCACTGTGCACAAAACAGCAGTGATAATCTGAGTATTTAAGGCAGCTATATGTAAAATGTTCTAAAATGGCATTTTAATACGAATTTATTGTTTCATTCCAGGTCCCTAACCCGGTCATTTACAGCACCCTGCAACCTTTTTCTCCAGCAGAATCTCCTTACTCTACTGTGTTCTAAAGACTTTTTTTTTCTTCTATCGATAACAGAAATATTACCCAGTATATTCTTTTATATGCATGTTGTAGATCTGAATCTTGCACTAAAGTTCTAGATCAGGGTTCTGCAGCCTGTGGCTCTGGAGCTGCAAGTGGCTCTTTGGACCGTCTACAATATTTTATAGAAATGTAAAAAAGAATATAAAGAGAAACTGAGAGTTTTGAATATTTTATATTAGCAAATACCATATTCAGAAGCTTTTTCTTTATTTAAATTATATTTTCCCAACAGATGACATAGAAAACAAACAGGAATATGTTTTTAATTCTCTATTTCTTGTCATTCACTTTGAAAGGATGTGCTTATTTTTTTTTACATAAAATAATATCCTATTAATCAAAATTCATGCTTCTTCTTCATGAAATGTTTATAGTTTTCTTCTATAAAAGACATGGTGTTATGTCTAATATTGACTGAGTAATCTGAGAAGTGACTGTTTCTAACAAAGTTGCAAACGTGAAAGAAAAAAAAAAGAAAAAAAAGGAAACCACACACTTCTGTTCTCACTATGTTAAATCTCTGATCAACAATTTGCCAGCAGCACACTTTTTTCCCAATATATGTTCGTATAAATCAACCCTCAGACTATTAGTTTTAAAGATCAATGAAAAATAATGAATTTATTTTAATGTAGAGGTTAAAAAAGCAACACTATTACTTTTGACCCAGGGATTTGCTAAATTTGAATTATAATTCAATGTTCTGGTCAATGTTCAGCACCTGGAGCTGTCACTGAATGAGTCATGTGACCCAGATCAGTCTGAGCTGCTCTTTAGCACGAGAGCTAATAAAGCTAATGTCAGGTTTGGTGGAGGTTATTTGAGCACCCAACTGTAGAGATGAGGAGGCAGAGATGATTTCTTGCAGATTAAATTTAAATGCAGATGGCAACAGAAGCAAAAACCCATGAACAAAAAGACAGAGAAACACACATGAGGAGCAAAGCAATAAAGAGAATCCAGCAATGAGCAACTGCACAGAAGGTGTATATATGGGGGACAGAACAACCTTAGGTTGTAAGTTTGCTTTTTAGGTAGCTTACATGACTGTTCACAACAAAATAAACAACATAACCAGACTTAATTTGTCTGTTATGTTGTTATGATGGGAAATTGTGAAAAAAAATAAATAAATCAATATATCTCACTGAAAACATTACATGCATTTTAGACGTTATGAAAAAGAAACTTAAAAAAAAAAGTTAATTTTAATTTCTACATTAATAAATCTTATTTGATACTGCTTTCCCCCTTACTAAACCTGGAGTAAATGGGTCTAGCGCCCCTTGTGGCTAAAAGTTACATAGTGTTGCTTTAAACAATAGTTGCACATTTAAAGGTCCTGGGTGGAAAAGCTTCTGGAAAAGATTCACTTTCACAGCCATCATACCTTCTTACTGGGATAAAAGGAAGTAATATGACAGCCTATATAAGGAAAAACTAGTTTTGTCTTTTGAGACTGAATTGTGTCATACAGTGTGTGGTCAAGAGTGGATAATAATGATAAACCAAAGCGCCCACCACATTATATATAAATATATAAACAGTTTTTACATGTCATGTATTAAGCTACTTTTAATCATGATCCCAAAATAAAAAATAAAAAAAGTTTCCAGTTTGGTACAAGTTGAGCTTCTACAAAGGAGATGTGTTAACACTGATTAACTCAAATCAAAGATATATTTACTCACAAAAACACTGAATGAAACATTTCAGGGCTTGGTTCAAATGTTTTATTTTCGTTCTAAGTTTTTCTATTTATTTATTTTTTATTCCATAATGCCCATAGGTGGAGAATTTGGTTGCTGACTCACGTTTCCAGAGAAGTTGTTGACTCTTTGACTCCAGTCGGTGTGCGGTAGTTCCAATGTTTGTCTGATTCGGTGGAGGGCGGACAGGGTTTACCCAGAATGCGGTTGTTTGTAGGTGAACGGAGAAGCTGACTGCCACTCAGATTTCCTGCTGTACTTGAATGGGTAGTGGGGGAGATTAATCACTTCATCAGTGTGAAGCTCAAACGATCTCTTGAGAGAAAGTGAATTCAAACCTCCAGTTTTGAAAACACAAGATTAAGACTCGGGTTGACAAGAACTCAGTTTGACTCAGCAAAACTCAGCTTGGCTAGAGTACCCCAAACTGGCAAACACTCTGGCGTTGAGGTAGTGGCAGTCAGCAGCTTAAGAGGGCTCAATGAGGTAACCCTCTGCAGGTGTGTGGGGAGGCAGACCACAACCAGGCGCCTCCTGGTGGAGGAAGGGAGACAAACACAGAAACACACAGAGAGGAATCCTGACAGTAGACGCCCCCCCCCTCAACGACCGCCACTCGGTGGTCCAGAGGAACCGGATGGCTGAGAGAGGCGGAAGTCCCTAATGAGGGAGGGGTCTAGAATATACGATCCCGGGACCCAAGAGCAATCCTCGGGACCATAATCCTCCCAATCAACTAAATACTGCCACCCTCGCCCAAGGGGACGAGCATCAATGATACGTCGAATGGTGTAGGTGGGGTGGCCATCAATGTCCAATGGGGGAGGGGGCTCAGCGGGTGAGCACAATGGGCTAGATGAGACCGGCTTGACCTGGGACGTGGAATGTAGGGTGTATGCCAAGGGAGGATGGTAGTCGGAGAGGGAGGAGACTCTCCAATGGTTTTCTCCACTTCTTAGGGTCCAATAAATTTAGGAGACAGTTTGCGTGACATCGCCTTGAGGGGGATGTCAAGGGTGGAAAGCCAGACCTTCTGGCCCAGGCGATAGGAAGGGGCAACCCTCCTCCTGCGGTTGGCCCACCTTTGATTCTGAATAGGCAGAAAATTTAGAAGAATGGATCCAATTGATAACACGAGCTTGGATGGAGGAAGGTACATAAATTCTGTTAGGTGGCCCGGTTCCAGGATCAGGTTCAGTCTGTTGGGCCTGTTTGATGAGATCCTCAATCCCCCAGGTTACTGCGGCAACAGAGCAGCTAGGAGGCAGGATGGGAGCAGCCGACTCTTCAGATTGGTCAAGTGAAAAGAGCCAGGGCGAAAAGAGATAGAGAGGTTGAATCGAGAGAAAAACAACGACCATCGGGATTGGCGGGGCATGAGTCTTTTGGCGGATTGGATATAGGAGAGATTTCTGTGATCTGTCCAAACCTGAATCGGATGTGCAGCTCCCTCTAGCCAGTGTCTCCATACCTTCAGAGCCAACTTAATGGCTAAAAGTTCACGGTCTCCAACGTAGTAATTTCTCTCCGCGGGAGTGAGTCTGTGAGAGAAAAAGGCACAGGGGTGTAATTTGTTGTCGGTACAGGAAACTTGGGAGAGAACAGCTCCAACTCCAGAATCCGAGGCATTTACCTCCACCACAAACTGTCTGGAGAGATTTGGCTGAGTGAGAACAGGAGCATTGGTGAAAAGTTTCTTGAGACGAGAAAAGGCTGCTTCCGCCTCAGAGGACCAAGCAAAGGGAACCTTGGAAGAGGTCAGGGCTGTCAGAGGAACAGCAGTTTGGCTGTAGTTGCAGATAAACCTGCAATAGAAATTTGCATAACCAAGGAAACGTTGGAGCTGCTTGCGAGTCTGGTGTAGGCCAGTCCAAAACAGCCTTAATTTTTTCCTCAGTGGGTCTTACCTGTCCGCCCTCAAGGAAGGAAACTGATGGTCTGTGGAAATCATATTTCTCAGCTTTGACGAATAGTTTGTTCTCAAGCAAACGTTGAATATTTACTGAAATATTTCATAATTTAATTTTAATACATTTTTTTTAAGTCTTAATCAGGTTCATTGGGTAGGGCGGCTCCATGGTGCTCTCTATTGGCCAGCCGTCACTGCTGCTTTAAAGATTTTCAAAGCCTCCTTGTATGATCCATGAGTGGCAGTAATTTCCTTTGTTCATAGTCTGATGATTACGGTCATATTTATGGACCATATTTCAGAATGAAATTTGAGTATCGATGCCAAAATGGTTAAAGCACAAATTTACTTTACTCATGCAAAATGACTCATCCCTGTTAAAGGGTGTATCAGGTTTATTTGGAGTGAGAGTGCATAGGGTTTAGAATCCTGAGGTTGTGAGTTCAAAACCCACTCCCACAGACTGCAACTCTGGGTCTTTCAGCAAGACCCTTAACCCCTGATTGCTCCCCGGGCACCCCACGATGGCAGACCACTGCTCCCCAAGGGGATGGTAAAATGCACAGGTACATTTCTCCTATGTGCGATCAATAAAATTCAATTAGTTGGCGCTCACATTTGCGCCGAGCATCCATCTGAACCTGCTTAAGCTGCTATTTGCAGAAATTTTAAGGATAAGATCAGGAGCTTTCAAAACGGAAAGCCGATTTGGGCCCTGATCTTTGAAGCTAGTTGCTCATCAGATATGCTACCAAATTTTCTAGCTACCTTCAATGGAGCAGGAGATCAGGATTCAACTTGGGTGCAGATACTATGCTGTCTGGTTAGTTCTACTGGGAAGGCCAAACATTTGTTTGTAATCTAGTTAATTTAGTTACTTTACTAAAGGTGCTTTACAGAAACAATTCCATCAAATCATATAGACAGGTTGGTCAGAAGTATTCTGATTAAGAAAAACCCAGCTAAATGCATTGGGTACCAGCATATTTTGATGGTGGATGGTTGCTTGCATTGTGTATTTTACTTTAAATCAATCCCTCACACCAGCATGCCTTGGCTGCTCAGCCTTGTGCTGAGGCCAACTGCGGGTTAAAACAAGACAGACACCGCATACAAGAGGAACATTAAAGCAATGATTCATAAAAATGTTCTATGTTGGGGAAGGTAACAATAAAATAGCTCCAGGTGGTGCTGTCTAAGAAGGACACAATGGAACAGATAAGATATGAGCTGAGGAAAACAGGAGGAAAGAGAGCATATATAGCTATTATCAGCTAAAACAGAGCTCATAGCCTTGTCTAGGAGAGAAACGGGACTAAATATTGGAAGATAGGCTCAATTATATCAGTTTAACTATTCATTATGTTCTCTAGGGCGACAGTGGCATTGGATGTAGGAGTTTTCCCTGAAATCCAAGGATTGACAGTTCAAGCCCCGACTGACTTTCAGTGTAGTTGTGTTCTTGGGCAAGACACTTCACCTGCATTGTCTACTGATGGTGGTCAGAGGGCCCGGTGACGCCAGTGTACGGCAGCCCCGCTTCTGTCAGTGAGCCCCAGGGCAGCTGTGGCTACAATGTAGCTTGCCACCATCAGTGTGTGAGTGTGTGCGTGAATGGGTAAATGAATGTAATGTAAAACGCTTTGGTCAAGTTTCCTGACTTGAATAAAGGCGCTATATAAGTACATGCCATTTACCATTTAGTTCAAATTATGCTAATTAGCATATGTGGACATACTCTCATACTTCAAACTGTCAGTATTTGTTC